ATATGATATATGATACAACTACTCATATCTATTGAGAATTGTACTTATGATAAAGTTGCATTCTTGTTTAATTCAATGCTTCTTGTCCTAAATGCCATCTTTTCTTTATTAAGATTGTGGCTTCTAGTCTCCATGTCCTAATATACCTGTGCTTGGGGTTTAATTTCCAATTTTTAAAAATCATTTTGTCTTAGGTGTGTTTTTACATAAAGTATAAAGTTATGATTTATACTTTTACTCCAATTGAATTTTTTTCCTTATAGATGAGTTTAAGCCCATTTCTACTTATTGATACAACAGATTCATTTTCTGTTATTGTTTTATGTTATTAAAGAAATACAACATTTTTGTTTTTATTATTTTTAAAGAAAATCTTTGGCTAAGTAATTTGTGTTTATTTTTATGTACTTGCAATACTTAGAAAACTTTTACTTTTCTAGGGTTTACTTTCATTTAGTATTCTTGGACCTTTATTTTTTGACAATATTTGTTTCCTAATAGAGACAGATATAAAATTCAAATGTATAACATTTTGCACTTGACTTTCATCTATCACCTAATTATATTCAATGTTATGATCTTTCTTAGTGTTTCCCTAACACTAATATTACATATGCCATGATTTTTTTATTGCTTGATTTGTTAGATTTCAGTGATATCTTCTGATGCTCAGCTATTAGAAATAAAGTAATTAGAGAAAGTCTTCTAGCTCTCATCTTCTTTTCATCTTTTTTTGCCCGCATTAGCCGCCTGTAAAAGTCTGAAATAATTTTCTAATTGGAAACATGGTATTATATCATATAATATAGCAAATGCATAATATTTTAAAGCTTTCAACTTTCAAAAACAACCTCATATAAGTATTTATTTCTAAGTACCCTAGCCCTCTCTTTCTTGTCCTTCCATCTCATTAAAAGTTACACCGAAAACCTGGGTAACCTACTTCGGTGTATAGATAATTGACTGATTTCTGCTACAGTGAGTAGCTGTAACATTAACCAGAGAGGACCCTGCCATGGAGATAGGGGCTTCAAGTTCTTTTTTAAATTAATAACATCTCCAACTGGAGGTAGTGATGTGAGGTAATGATTGAAAGCTCCTGTTTGCAACCATTTGTAATTACCAATGGCATCCAAACATGCTCATTAATTCATTCTCTCAACACTGACAACTGTTGTCTTTGATCATGTTCTACTCCATTACCTATGTTGTTGTCACTATACCTTGACAATAAAATCTATCTTCTGCGTGTCAGTGTTGTGTACTGGTGGAGGATGGATAAATTCATATTTTTGTGGAGGTACTATCTGGCATGGGCCCTCTATTACTTTGGAGAGAGTATAGAGGATCATGCCATTAGAGAGTTAAAGAATATACAAGATAAACTGCAGCAACTTTCTGGGTGGCGTTTTGGGTGAGTCTGGTTGAGTCCATATTTAATGTGATAATTTGTAGAAGTTTTGTTTTCTAGGTAATACTTCAAGAGAATTCTAGTGGTTGGGAGGCAGTGAAGTCCTTGTGCGCAGGCACTGCCACAGGAAGTGGGAAGGGTGGGAAGAGTGGCATGATTTGGGATTTTAGATTTCTTCTCTTTTGTCCTTTTAATAAAAATGACAAGCTACCTTGGTGGAAAATATAAATGTGTCTTCCATGTTCTTTCTGTCATCAATCCTATGTTTGGTAATTATTTATGGAGAGTGAATCTATAGTAGACCAGACACTGTGTATCTCTGGGGATACAGTGGTGAGCAATATAGACATAGATTTTGTCTTCATGGACTTCTAGTCTACAAAGAAGCACACAAAGCCATAATCACCATTGCAATAATCTTGAAGAAAAAGCATTTTAGGAGTTAAGAGCAAAGACAATTGCAATGAGATCTGAAGGATAAGAAAAGAAAAGAAAAGAGAAGAAAAGAAAAGAAAGAAAAAGATGGAGAAGGTAGAATGGGAGTCAAGTGGTCCAGATCGAGAAAGGTGCCATCTGTCAGGTGCTGGAGTGCTTGTCTGAGTTGAGGAACTAGAAAAAGACAAGAATCAAGATAGGGAAGGGTCTGATATTAGGGCTGGAAAGGGAAATTGGGGGATGCCAGATTCTACTGGGATGCCATGATGAGGATTTTGGTCTTTATCCTAAGGGCAGGGGCAGCTATATAATTTGTGAGACTCAGTGATATGAAAATGCAAAGTGAAAATGCAGGGTCCCCTTTACAAAAATTATTAAGAATTTTAAGACAATGACAGCAGAGTATGAAACCAAGTGCAGGACCTTTCTAAGCTCTGTGCCTAGTGTGACTGCACTGGTCACAAACCCATGAACTTGGCCCTTCCTAAGGGCAATGGGAAGCCAAGGAAAAGTGTGAAGTAGAGAAGAGTGATGGTTGGTCTGGCACTTTAAAAGACAAATTCTTGGGGCACCTGGGTGACTCAGTTGGTTAAGCATCAGGCTCTTGATTTTGGCTCAGATCATGATCTCATGGCTTGTTGAGTTTGAGCCTGGTGTCTGGCTCTGTACTGACAGTGCAGAGACTACTTGGGGTTCTGTCTCTCCCTCACCTTGCCTCTTCTCTGTGCTCACTCTCTGTCTCTCTCTCTCAAAATAAATAAACATAAGAAAAAGACAAATTTCTTTTTTAGTTTTATTGAACATTTATTTTGAGAGAGAGACAGAGTGTGAGTGGAGGATGGGCAGAGGGAGAGGGAGACACAAAATCTGAAGCAGGCTCCAGGCTCTGAGCTGTCAGTACAGAGCCTGATGGGGAGCTTGAACCTTAAGCTGTAAGATCATGACCGGAGCCAAAGTCAGATGCTTAACCAACTGAACCACCCAGGCATCTGTGTGTTTTGTTGGTTTAAAACAATAGGCTGGGGACATCTGGGTGGCTCAGTTGGTTGAGCGACCAGCTTCAGCTCAGGTCATGATCTCACTGCTTGTGGGTTTGAGACCTGCATAGGGCTCTGTGCTGACAGCTCAGAGCCTGGAGCCTGCTTCGGATTCTGTGTCTCCCCCTCTCTCTGTCCTTCCCATGCTCATGCTCTGTCTCTCTCTCTTTCTCAATAATAAATAAATGTTTAAAAAAAACAAAAGAAAAAAATAGACTGTATTTTATATGCAGCCAATTATTGAGAATCAAATCTTTTGTTCATCATCACTCTGTCAAAACAAGTCTTGGGTATTGTTTGATGTAGTAAGAAATATGCAAATGAGAAAAAATCAAACAATTTTACATTTTACAATACTTTATTTTTTACAATAATCCTATTTTTGTGTGTTTACGCATTTCAAACACCCTATGGGGAAATAGTTACTCAGCAAAACTACAGATTTGATAGTGATCCATAGTTTAATTTTTTGACACACAGAGAAACAATTTTCTTTAAGGACTTTTATGACAGAATATAGGTCAACCTATGACTCTTTAAAAAGTCTGACAACTCTAGAAATCAGCAACCTTATGTTTTTTAATCTTGTTAATTCAAATTTATAAACACTAATGGTAAAAATTATCCCCAGTTAACAGTATTTTTAAAAAGAAGATATTTGTTAGATATTTGTGTATCATGACAAGAAAAAAGGAAATATTTGGGGGGGCATCATTCTTTTTTTTTTTAAATTTTTTTGATGTTTTATTTATTTCTAGGAGAGAGAGAGAGAGACAGCGTGAGCAGGGGAGGGTCAGAGAGAGAGGGAGTCACAGACTGAAACAGGCTCCAGGCTCTGAGCTGGCAGTCAGCACAGAGCCCGACGCGAGGCTCAAACCCACGAACCGCGAGATCATGACCTAAGCGAAAGTCGGACGCTTAACTGACTAAGCCACCCAGGCGCCCCTGGGGGGGCATCATTCTTTAGAAACATGATATAAATGGTAAGAAATTAACTTATATTTACTGAATAATATTTGTGGTTTGGTTTATATTAACTATATTTACTTAATAATGTTATGGTTTGGCTATATAAGCAAACTGTCTTAGAGAGTGATATGAAATAAGTAAATTACAGTGGAAGGAGAGAGGTACTATTCTTATATTAATTTGGAGCTTGTGAGTACAGAGAAATGCATAGTGGGAAAGTGAGTCCTCAGTTTAAAGTTACTTCAGTTTAACAGAAGAAGCAGTCTGACACATACATAAATATACAACTTAATAAGCAATTACACTATTCAGCTTGCTCTGGTTGTGTAGATCTCTGCAACTAAGGGTAAGTAACTACAATGTCAGATATAAGCAGAGGTGAGAAGCTGATGGGTCTGATCTTAAAGGCAAAGAATCACAGGGAGGATATGGATAAAATAAAGATGAAGAGCTGCGAAGGAAAGGAGGGTGAGGTCTAGCAAATTATGCGCTTGCAAATCTTGCATGAGATAAAAACCAGTATCAGCATTTGATAGCTACTGGCGATGGAATTATATTACAGATGCTTAAAATTAATGGGACATTCAAAAAGAGTCCCTGCCAATCTAGGAGAAACACTAAAAAAGTTCATTAGGATTAACACACATTTGGCGTAGAATAGGGTGGACAATTATGTTGAGCTAGTTTGGGATCCAGGTAATGAAAGAAGACTTCATGAGGGAGGTAGAGTAATTACTGAGCTCTAACGGGTAAGAGTGAAATGGCTAGATAATTCATAATCATTATTATTGCATTATATTTATTTTTGTTGCTTTCTAAGATGTTGAGTAACCTGGACGACTTACCTGCAGGAGAAAACAGGAACTCTGTCTCTGACATGCAATTCTACCTCGAAGCACAATTAATTGAAATGAATTAAGAGTGTGACATCATATAGTTATCATAATTAGACAAACACATCTTGGTTTAATTTAACTTGAACATAGTCTAAGGGGTTAAAAAGCTTTGGAAATAGAAAAGACCCCTTAAGCTTGTTCATTAAAAAGATTTTAATTTGAAAGTTGAAAAAAATACATAGCTAAGATTTTTTTGCACAATTATATAGAAACTCAAAAACTGTACATAGTAATAATGATAAAATTACTTGCCTAGGTCCACAAGTGATTCTTCAATTGTTTGTTGCACAGGCTCAGAGAGAAAAAAACTAAGAACACAATCACTCTGAAAAAAAACACACAAAATATAGTATTCCTTCATATCTTATATTTATTTATTGCTTCTATTCACTAGTGGAGGATGGACTCCTGATTCAATATGACTGGTATTCTTATAAAAAGGGAAAATTTAGACACAAGCATTCATGTAGGAAGGACAATGTGAAGGGAAATAGGCAGAAGATAGCCTTTTTTTTGTTTGTTTCATTTATTTCTGAGAGAGAGAGAGAGAGAGAGAGAGTGAGCAGGGGAGGATCAGAGAGACAGGGAGACACAGAATCTGAAACAGGCTCCAGGCTCTGAGCTGTCAGCACAGAGCCTGATGCGGGGCTCGAACCCATGAACCGTGAGATCATGACCTGAGCTGAAGTCAGACGCTTAAGTGACTGAGCCACCCAGGCGCCCCCAGAAGATAGCCTTTTATAAGTCAAGGAGAGAAGCCTGGAATAGATTCTTCCCTCACAGCCATCAGAAGGAAACAACCTTGTTGACACCTTGACTTCAGACTTTCAGATTCCAAAAACACAAGACAATGTATTTCTGTCCTTTAAGTCACCTTGTGGTTAAATCAGCTTGTGGCACTTTGCCACGGTGACCCTAGCTAAGTAAGACAGCACCCAATGTTGCTCCCTTCATTTATGTCCTAGATTCTTTTCCTTCCTCCTCAGGAACCTTGAGGAATATCTCAGTCTCTACGTTAGTAACTTTACCTCCTTCCTTTCTTTCTCATCAGCATAAAGTAGTCTCTCCATTTTCACACCTAGCAAACAGAAGAGTCAAACCACACAAAGTATACTCACACGTAAATAATACCCTGTCACTAATGCCCCTTGACACAACCTACAGGAAGAGCTACCAACATTCATACTGGTTTCACCTCAATTTCTACTCTATGATCTACAGCAACAGGGTTTCCACCACTAATTGTCCACCAAAGATGCTCTTAACCATCATCTCTAACAACTTTTTCTTTTTTAATGTCTCCCCCCAACCCCAATCCAGTGGGGATTTTCTTGGCTTTTATATAACTACTACATTTTCAGTGAAAAATTATCATTTGCTTTTATGGTACTAGGTTGTCTCAGTTTTGCTTCCATTTGCCCTGTCACCTCATTCTGGACTTTAAAAAATTTTTTTAAATGTTTTTTATTTATTTCTGAGAGAGAGAGAGAGAGAGAGAGAGAGAGACAGCGTGAGTAAGGGAGAGTCAGAGAGAATCAGAAGCAGGCTCCAGGCTCTGAGCTAGCCATCAGCACAGAGCCCGACACGGGGCTCAAACCCACAAACCGTGTGATCATGACCTGAGCCAAAGAAGGACGCTTAACCAACTGAGCCACCCAGGCATCCCAATCACTGAACCTTTTTTTTTTTTTTCCCCAGGCTCCTTTTCTTTTGCTTATAATTTAAATTCTAGTGTTCTTCATTTCCAAGCCATATCTCTCATTCCTGGCACATTCTTTCTGGGTGATGTTATCCCTTTTGGTGGCTTCTACAATGATGCACAAATCTAAACCTTTATCCCAGCTTTGTCTCCTGAGCCTCAGCCCTCTGTATCAAAATACCTATTTTTTGGCTTCTTGACCATTCTAAAGACAATTACAGCCAAAAAGTGCACCAGTAAATGCATTTTCTTTGCCTGCAATTTGCTACCTCTTCCTATGTCCAGGCTCAAAACAGAGTGTATCTTTTTAGACTCTGCAATGTTCCTTACCCCACACATAATATCTATTGCTAAGTCCCTTATCGATATTAATTTCTAAATATCTCAACTACCCATTTCTTCTTTCTAGGTATGCTTCAGAGTTCCAGCATCCTCACTTCCTACCTAAATTACAGCAGGGGTTCCCAACTCTTACCTTGCTACCCTTTAATCCAATCTATTTTCTACTTCATTGTCAAACTGATCTTTAAAAATAAAAATATAACAGTTAACTGCTTAAAACCCAGCAGTGGCTCCTTATTGCTCTTATGAAATAGGCCGACTGCTTCCTTCACAAGGCTTGTAAGACCTTTCTTGATTGGGATTTTGCTTATTTCCCCTCTTCATCTCTCACCACTTCTCTTCCAGGACTTCATGCTTAACTACACTGAATTATATTTATTTCTTCAAGTGTGCAGATTCTCTCACCTCCTTGTTTTCCTACACACTCTGTTATTATCCATCCTTTCCACACCTACACACCCATTTGCCCAAGGTTTATCACGTGCTTTCTTTTCTACTCTTTTAGCCTCGTCATTAAAATATCAGGAGCAGGGATTGCCATGTATTCATTCATATCTAATATAGCATTTTTGCTCAATAAATATTTATTAACCAGAACTGAGATCTGTTTTTAGATACAGAATACATTGGTTTTCCAATGCGAATATTGTTATCTATGTAGCAGTTTTATGCATCAGTGTAAGTTAGTTAATTACCAAATTTTGATCTCTGTGTATTAATCTCTTGTGAATCTGCTTAATAAGAATCTGTCCCCAAGAAATGTATCCATATTCAGGATGCTGACCAAATCAAGTTTTCTTTTTTTTTTGAAAGCTTAAAGTCAAACTTCAGACTGTGAAGAATTTGTTGAAGAAAATTTAACCTTCTTTGGCCTTTTGACAACTAGACAATTATTCTTCTCTGGTGACATTTTGGCCTCACCACCCAATGGTTATTAAACTTCAATAGTAGGCAGAATATTTTCCCAATTAGTGTCTGAAATGTCACCACTAGCCAATTGTTCCCTTGTGTTTACACTGTCATATCCTTGAAATCCTCATTTGTAATTCTGGGTGTGGGTGACATACTAAACACTAATTCTTTATTGTAACAAGATTGTTTTAATTCTTGAGGAGAAACATGACTCAGTGTCAATGGAGGGAAAAATCAATAAAAGAGATGAAGAGGGGAGGAAAAGTGATGTTGCTCGATCTTAAAATAATTAATTTTGAAATTTTTGCAGGCTTGGTTTTACTCATGTGCATGCTTTCCAGTGCTTTTTAGCACACTGTACCACTAGAGAGTATGAGTTTTAGCAACGTCAGTACTACAATTGTTCTTACTGATAACTAGGATCGATGTTTTTATCTGGGTGTTTATTGACCCCCAAGGAGTGTGGCTACACTTACTTGTATAGGTTGTGTACTGAGCAACATTAAAGGTGCCATTTTTACATGGACTCTAAGTATAATCCTACTTAACAGTGTTCCCCATATGTAGGGCTGGCAGATAGAGCAAATAAAAACAGAGGATGTCCATGCAATATTTGTAACATAATTATTCTAAAAATATATAGTTTATCTCAATTCAAATTTAACTGGGTGGCCTGCATTTGACTCGCTGCCTTACAATATGAGGTGTCTAGAAAATGTGTGGGCACACTTTTGGCTGTCTCAGAGGATACAATTGGCAATTATTGGTCAAGACTACTTATCCTAAATGTCCTGCAATACCTAGGAGGTTCTCACATTATGAAGAATGTTTCTTTTCTGCTTAATTCTTCAAAAGGTAATAGTCTCCTAGGGGGAAAAAACAACTCTGAATTTAATTACTTTATTCTAGAAGTGAGAAAGCTGAATGCTAGATAGCAGAAATGATTCACTGATTGAAATTAGTACCAAAACCAAACCAAACCAAACCAAACCAAAACAAAAAACCCAGCCAACCAACCAAACCCTGTGTTACCTGTGTTATTATTGCCAATGGCCTATAGATGTGAAAAATGCATATGGGAGACAGGTGACAGGTAGGATATGTGGCTACAGAGTCCTACGGCACTCTAGATCTATAGAAACTGGAAACTAATGCGACTTATTGATCAATATTAGGCAGAAAAGCATCACAATCAGATATTTTTAGAAAGGTGACAGTGCAGCATTGTGGAGGAAAAGAAAAGGCAGTAGCCACTTCTGGAGAATATCATCAGCAAGATTCCTTATATGCTCAACATATTGTATTTTCTGAGCATTCCATTCTGCTTTCCCATTAAATCTCTAAAATGGCATTTATGTTCTCTCCCATTCCCTTTATCCCCCTGGCCCTGGTCGGGGGGTAGGTATCCTCCTCGTATCTCCTTTCTCTTCTAACTCCCATTCTTTCTTCCTCTATCAAACGACCCTGCTTTGGAGATCATGTCTGTTGACTCTACTGCTCTCCCCACCCCTCTTGCTGTTGCACTTGTCTACACTTGTCTGTAGGTCACTGACCTTCATTTCTTGAACATTTTCCACCCTAGAACAGTATCATTTTCTTCGATAGTTCTTGTCATAATTCACACTTATTTTATTTATTTTAAAAATAAGTTTTGTGTTTTACTTACTTAATTATTTATTTATTTTAGAAAGAGTATGTGAGCCAAGGAGAGGAGCAGAGAGAGAGAATCTTAAGTAGACCCCATGCTGAGCATGGAGCCCAGCACAGGGCTCTATCCCACAACCCTGGGGTCATGACCTGACCCAAAATCAAGAGTTAGACACTCAACCAACTGAGCCACTCAGATGCCCCATTTCATGCTTATTTTAATATTCACACAAATTATCCTTTCCTGTGGTAGATTCTTTGTTTTATTAACTCCTTTCATCTATTGATGTTGTTTTGCATCCTACTCAGTTGCTCACTCCTGTTCCCTTGATCTTGTCTTGATCAGTGAAGAAAGCTCTTTCATTATCTTGATTTCTAACCTCATAGTCTACAATCACCATTTTCCTCCTTCCCAGTTCATTCCCTCTGGTTATACAACTCAAACAATCTGTTGACTATAAGGCCTTTTCATTGGTCATAGCTCCTTTCATATTCTCATGTTCCTTCTTGCCTAATTCGGATCCTATGGTTGATACTTATTATAACTCCATTGCATATTTTGTTTACCTCCTTTGGCCCTCTTTCCTTCTATTTTATTATATATCTGTCAAAAATCCCATCTTAGGTTATTCTCTGTCAACTTTGCAACTGTAACAGACCTGCTGAATGTTCCTGGAGAAAAGCACTCAACCACACTTACTGGTCTCGCTGTCACCTCATGTCCA